TGCGTAACCTCAAAAATTGGATACAAACAGACAAACAATCAAACAGACACACAGAACAGTAAAGTATTTATGTCTAGATGCATCCTAGTATAAGAACAAGTTTGCCCGTTGTGAAATTAAAACATATAAAAGTTGAATCTGACTTTTAGACCTGGACATCTAAATCACCGTTATGAACTGAGGATATACATTAAGTACAGATCATTATATATATTTAAATTTTATTGCTACCATGCACCTAAGGAATGCTAAGATAAGGTAAGCAATATAATATTCTGCAAATAAGTTAACAACTATTTTCCCGTTTATATATATAGAGTAGCCCAAAGATATATCTTTAATGTTACTAGGGGTTTAAATTCCTTTGTATTACTGTAAAAGGCGCTACAATCTTGTAGTTCCTTAAGGTAAGTTTTGCCCACCTTTTGTTAAAAAATAAACAATAATACGGATAAAAAAAATGTTATTTAAAATATATTTATTATGATTTTTTGTATTCAACCTTTAGAAACTGAGCCAGTCGACAAACAATTGAGACATTTATCAATGATTAGTATAATTTTACTACACTGTAAACTCAGGTTAATTTCAAGTACCGCGCCGACTTTTATTCAGACTATGTAAGGCAAAACGTGACAGTGCGCCACATGAAGGACGGAGAGTAATTAGTACGATTAGTAAACAGGGAATAGGACAGATATACGACCATATAAACCCTTCATATCGTATTCTCAACAATTCTATAAATTCACAAAAAAAAGTGGTTTTTATGTTTTAATCTAATATTAATATTACATTTCTAGCCCTCTGCATTGAACAATGTAGGGCTATGCTAAAACATTTCATTTTCCTAAAATAGTCATTTTTGCGCACGCGCAACTTGCTTTTTTATATTGGCAATAGTGCCCGAACCCCAGTTATTTTCCTTTTTCACCAAAATAACTAATCTAACAAAAAAAACTTTTTAGCCCATATAAATCCAGTCAAGTTAAACTCACAGCGTGATTTTTCTACCATTTAAAAATTAAACCCGTTATTTCATACGCTTTTACTGTCAATTTTAATCCTCTATAACCACAAAAATTCTACATGTAAAACAATAAAATTTTCAAGAATAAAAAAAGTATCTAAAAACTTCTTGATATGATTTAGTCCGTTTCCAAGTTTTGTATTCGAATGATCCTCTGATACTCTAGTTCTCTATTTAATATTTTCCTCCGTACGCTGCGAGGACAAACCTCTCTTGAGCGGCCTCCAGGCTTCAACTGTCATGAAGAACTGCGGGATCTCTTCTCAACCTTTCACTTGAAAAATTAGATACTTCGACTTCTCGACAGTTGGACCGTTCTTTAGTGGGTTCAGGGGGCACAGACCCAACTGTGACGCTGGGGCACGTACAGCTAAACAAGTTTTAGTAATGGCTCCAAAGTTTAATAACTTTTTTAGCGGTCCATTTTTTGTTTTTATTTTTACTAAAAAGTCCTCCCCCCCCCCCCGTTTTAAAAATACTAAAGAGACCGGACAATGTCATGAAATATATTTAGAAACTAGCTTGGTAGAAGTCAACCCACTCGACTAACTTTCTAACAAAGCTAAGAACATTTTCCGGATTTCTAGAGTTCCTCGTTTAAAACTCGAGGCAAATCGGTCTATAGTTTACAGGATTGTATAACCGGCCCCCCCCTCCCACAAAAACTTACGGGGCCCTGATGGGCGAGATGGGTTTTGTTTGATTTGACGTAAAAAGCAAACGACAGAGATTACTACTTTATATACATATATATATACATACATATATATGGTTACCCACAAAGGTTGAGACTTCAGAGACTAAAACTGGATTATATCTGTGCTTAATCATTACATAAACCATCAAAATACAAAATTGATGCAGAAACTAAAAATCAAGCTTCAAATCGTCATATTTTTAGAGTTTTGGGTCGTCTTTACAGTCGCATCCTTTGTGGGTAACCCTGTATGATTCTAGATCAAAGTAACTATGCAAATATTGATAATCTAAAATCTGTCCCTGATACTGCAAACAATTGGCATTTTTCTGTCACTGTATCAATAAGTTAAAGATAGTTCACATCGAAATTAAAATATTATTGAACTTATCAAGGTTTTGACATTGCTAACTGAGAGGTATCAACTTCAATTCAAATCTTTCAGAAAGCCATCATCAGGAATTCACGTTCAATATCAAAGTTTCTATAGATTTTAAATTTCAAATTAGTTTTGTTATATTTAAAAAATTGTTGTCGCTCCAAATGTTTATTTCCATTTTCCTTCAAATTAATATTTTCGAAAGTCTCCCTCGTCTCCCAGTCTTTTCCGGAACAATTCTGAGTCGGAGATATCTAACAGAACCTTTTCTAAAACCGATTATGAATAAAAATATATTAAAAATTCATGTGTTCCAAAATTTGCTTCATTTGTTCACCCTTGCTTCCTAAATTAGAATTACTTGCGAGATCTTTCCCCCGATATAGATTATTGACAGCTATAGAATAGTTTCTTTCATAGTGTAGGTGTGTCCCAATAAACATTTCAAAAGAAATAGGAACAACTTCAAGAGAATTAAGAAACAACTTCTAGAGAATTAAAAAACAACTTTTAGAGAATTAAGAAATAACTTCAAGAGAATTATGAAATAACTTCAAGAGAATTAAGAAATAGCTTAAGGAAAAGTTAAGATCAACTTCATGGGAATTAAGAAGAAACAACTTTAATAGAATTAAGAGACGACTTCAAGTGAGTTAAGAAACAACTTCAAGAGAATTAAAAATTAATTTCAAGAGAATTAAGAAAAAACTTCATAAGAAATAAGAAACAACTTCATGAGAATTAAGAAACATTTTCAAGAGAAATAAGAAACAACTTCATGTGAATTAAGAAACAACTTCAGTTGAATTTAGAAACAACTGCAAGGAAATTAAGAAAAAAGTTCAAGAGAGTTAAGATACAACTGCAAGGGAATTAATTAACAACTTCAAGAGAATTAAGAAAAAACTTCAAGAGAATTAAGATACAACTGCAAGGGAATTAAGAAACAACTTCAAGAGAATTAAGAAACAAAATCATGAGAATTAAGATACTACTGCAAGAGAGTTAGGATGCAACTTCAAGAGAATTAAGAAACAACTTCAAGAGAGTTAAGAAACAAAATCATGAGAATTAAGAAACAACTTAAAGAGGATTAAGAAACAACTTCAAGGGAATTAAAAAACAAATTCAGGAGAATTAAGAAATAAGAGATTTATGAAATAACTTCAAGAGAATTAAGATACAACTTCAAGTTTATTGGTTTTCTCAAAGCATTAATTGATACCGAAAATGGTCTAAATCCCAGAAATTGTGTCGTTTAGCAGTTTTATCTCTGGATTGATGAAAAGCTATAAACGGTTTATTTTTAATAATATAAATATACCATTTTATTAACCAGAATTATAAGATGAAAACCAGGAAACTGTGGAATAAGAAGATAACTTTTATAAAAGACCGATATTAAGAAGTCCTAAACAACAAAGCTTTATTTTTGTTAATGCTATTCATTCCTAAGAAAGCACTGCCGCACTATTTCTTCTGGAGAGCTTGGGAGTTAAGAGCTATATTAGTAAAACGATTGGCTTTAATAAAACTGTAAGCATAATTTCAAGTGACCTTCCATGTAAAGAGGGCCAACTCCGATTCACAAAGGTACCCTTCAACCTTTGACTGAACAAAATGAACATTGAACTCAGTGTATACGTCTTTTAAATGTTTGTAAAAAGCCCAAAAAAGTAGTGTACGCGGAGGACACATTTATTCCAAGAAACAGGAAAACCCATGATACACAATGCTGAAAATGGACCATCAGGTTTCAAGTCAAAACACTTAAACTTTTTCTTTGGATTATGTTTATATGCAGAGCTGAAAACTTTAGAATGGTGGATATCAGGATTAAGGAGAGTTTCTTAATATCCAGTTTAAATATTGCTTGTTCTCCACATGAATTTAAACTCCAGAAAAGTTAACCGATCGGATATCTGGATATTTCATTCTAAAGTTTTCAGCTCAGGCTACTTAGTTATATTCTCAATTTTCAGAAAATGCCACCTAGGGAATTTTGAGCAAATCAATTTTTAAGAAATTGTAGAAATCAATTTTTTTAACAGTATATGATGACATGAGCTGGGAACTTTAGAATGGATAAACTTTAATCCCAACTACTTAATCCGAATATCCACTGTGGAAACTTTTCATTTTTGTCCTAATCCACTCTTAAGCTTTATTTTTGTTAATGCTATTCATTCCTAAGAAAGCACTGCCGCACTATTTCTTCTGGAGAGCTTGGGAGTTAAGAGCTATATTAGTAAAACGATTGGCTTTAATACAACTGTAAGCATAATTTCAAGTGACCTTCCATGTAAAGAGGGCCAATCCCGATTCACAACGGTACCCTTCAACCTTTGACTGACCATAAAGAACATTGAAGTCAGTGTATACGTCTTTTAAATGTTTGTAAAAAGCCGAAAAAAGTAGTGTACGCGGAGGACACATTCATTCCTGGAAACAGGAAAACCCACAGTGTTAATATTCTGTTTCAAACGCAGTTTTCTATAATTCGAATGTGAATATTTATATTCTGCTACTTCTGGAAATTAAATATCAATATTCAAAATTAGAAAATAGACTACCAACAAATTGTTAACAAATACAAGCGTATATATAGATAAACAAGGAGAAGTTGACCATCCTAGGTTAGTCAAAGGTTTCAATGGTACCGTTGTAAATGGGGGATGTTCCTCTTTAAATCAAAGTTCACTTGAAATTACGCATAACGTTCCTTTAAAGATTGATTTTATGTCGTCTTCATATTCAACAATTACTGATTTTAACTTTACTTGTTCAATAAATCCCATTCCAGGATATAATTTTTAAGAAAAAGAACTTATTTTCTGAACACAATGATAAAAGATTATTAGTGAGGCGGAATTAATTAATAAAAGATAAATATATATCCCTGTTTTTGACTTTATAGAATCCTCCATTTTGTTCTAAATATATTACATATATTACATATATCATTGAAATAAAATAACATGTAACAACATGGAAACAAACTGGAGAAAATACAGAATCACAAGATAATGTTCATTGCTTTTATAAACTTAATTAAAAGATATTAATGGAGTAAAGCAACGTTAGATTATTGTCTACTAATTATATAATTTGAAATTTAAGATTTGCACAATTATAAGAACAAATTATCACAAAATTTCATGTTAATTTTCAGCCGAGATCGGTAAATAAACATGGCTTTCGGTCGCATTAATAAATATTTATCATTTTTAAGTGTATTCCTTAATTAACCTTCCTTTCAGGGGACGTACAATTTTATAAACGTTGAGGAACAAAGGGACCTGAAGCTAAAAAACTAATTACCTTAAAAATGTATTTGTCCACCCAAACTAATTTTTTTGCAAAGAACTTCTTCATGAAAAACATGATTTTAAAAGGAGAGTAAAATCCCGGAATTATGTAATGATTAAATTGTGCACGAGTTTACATAGTAAACGTTAAATACCATTCATTTATCACATATTACATTATACATATATTATCAATTGATATAATTAAGCTCAAGCATATACAATTAAAAGCTAAGTGTGTGTGTGTGGGGGGGGGGGTAAGTTAGGAAATTCAAATCCTTAGTTTTTGTCTATTTACAATAACGATATTTGTCAGACAAAATTTATAGTTAGTTCATGAATAAAAAGGTTTTAACAACAGAAAAGTTGTCAACTATTCCTTTTAAATTCTAGCTGCGTCTTTTTAATGTAATTACATTTACATGTCCAATAAGCAAAATTATGTTTTCTGCAAGTTTCACGGCTCTGATTTTTGTGTATATTATGCAACTGCATAAAATCTGAATTGGTTAAAATTGTCAACTTGTACAATGTACACTATAAGTGGTATAATAGCAGGATTCGTAGGATATATCTTGATATCCTAGTACATCCATTGAAGTCAATTAAGGAAGACTTCGAGTCAAAATTATACATCTAGACTTTAAACACAGTATTCTTAGATTAAGTTCTATCGTACAATATAATAGAATGTACATCTTAACTGAGAATAATTGACTGTAGTCTGATTGCATTTCAGGATTTTCGACTTATATACAGGAGTTGGAGAGTTATTTATGTTTGTTTAGTTTGTGCGTTTTCAAGTTACCCGCCTGGGTTGCCTCGTAATCACACTGATCGCAAGGATATCTAATTCCCTCATGTTTGGCTTCTCTGTGTCTTTTTAGAAAATCTTTTCTGAGTGAGGAATATTCACAACTTTCACAATGATAAACTATTCCGACATGTTTCCTTCGTTTATGGGTTCCAAGGTTGCTCTTACTTGTAGCTACAAATTCACACTGATCGCATAGAAATTTAGCATCTTTATCTCCGTGACGAACTGCCTTGTGTGCTCTTAGATTACTATTTAGAGCTCCAATATAATCACATTGATCACAGGGATACCTCACTCCTTCGTGTCTACTCAACTTGTGTTGTTCTAAATATTTAGTTGAGGTTGTGGAGAAGAAGCATTGATCACACAGATACCGAATACCCTGATGCGTGGCTTCTTTGTGATGTTTTAACATACTTTTAGAACACCCTGTATAGTCACACTGATCACAGGGAAATCGTTTTCCTTCGTGAACCACTTCTTTATGGTTTCTGAGTCCGCTCTCAGATGCGCCTGAGTAGCTGCATTGATCGCACAAATGCCCTGAATGTTTACTTCTTCCGTGATCTCTCAAAGCTATCCTAGTCAACGCTACAAAGTCACAATACTCACAGGAACAAGATTCAACCGGATGTTTTTCATCTTTATGTTTGTCTAAATTTCTGGCGGTGTTGGTGGCAAATACACATTCGTCGCATGTAAACTGAATACCAATGTGCTTTTTCTTTTTGTGGTTTCTTAAAGCTTTAGGACTGGGAGCTACATACTCACATTTATCACAAGGAAGCTGTACACCACCATGATTTGTTTTCCTGTGAAGGTTTAAAGCGCTACGCGAATCGACTACATAGTCACAGACGGGACATTTAAATCCTTTTTCACCTTTATGCTTAAAAGTCTTGTGTACCTTCAAAGAAATAGCATTTTTAGCTAAATATCCGCACTCGTTGCATTCAAACTCCAGAGATCCATGATGACTTTGTTTGTGTCGTTTCAAATTATATAATCCGTTTGCGGAATACTCGCACTCGTCACATGTGTACTCGATAACGTCTGGTGTTTCATCTTTTATAAGCTTCTCAACACCTTAATAATTCATCTTTAAAGGAGCAAATTTTTTAATGGATAAATTATTTCGTTAAATGGCCCATATCGATCAATTCATTTCATATTGTGTAAGTTAAGAAAATGGAAATATTAAATCTACGAAAATTTCACTTTGGATTAAGAAAAAAACTTTGATAGAAACAAAATAGGTAAAAAGTAAAGTAAAGAAATTATCTATTTTTTCTAGGAAAAATATTTGTGTATTGATAACTAACCTTCCATGATTACTTCAAAATTCATCCGAGCCATCTCCTTTCCCTCCTCGTTATCCAGGTTCGCTAGGCCTCCCATGTAACCCATGTCTCCCTCCTCCTCATCATCCATCCTCTCCTCCTTGATGATCAGGTCCGGCTTCACCTCCACAGTACACTTCTCAACCTCCTCATCTTGGAACGAGGAATCCGCCAAAACTTTTTCCATCTTCTAAAATAAAAAAGGATTAATAGTGAAAAAAAAATTAGTAAATAAGAAAATGCAAAATTTTAAATTAGAGAAGGAAGTAAAAAAAAATGGTCAACAGGAAAAAATGAAGACTTGGAACCACAAGAGATAAGAATAGTTTACTTAAATATAAATATTCAAGCTTTCACCAGGAGCATATACTAGTGTATACTAAATTGGAAAAATCATTCCCTTTTCCCTTCCTATCAATCATTTCCCTTAAAATTAGGACAGTTGAAATGTTTTATGTCGCTATGATTGTAAAAATGGGAAAATAAATCTTATTTTAGTGAACTTAAACCAAAATAAATTAAAAATTTTGCCATAATCCTATTTATTTGCCTTAACAGTACAGTTCTCCAACTTGTCATCTTGGAACGAGGAATCCGCGAAAGCGTTTTCAATCTTCTGAAATTTTAAAAGATTTATGAAATACAGACAAGCTATCAAAGAAGGAGATAATGCGGAATAGTAAATGATTAAAGGTACTTCTAAAGATAAAGGCAAAAAATAAATATAAAATTAAAGCTTTAAGCAGGGGTGTGTACTGTGTACTGTGTACACTATAAAAAAAATAGATGCCACTTCCCTTCTCAATAATCAAGTATGACAATTTAAAGGTTTATGTCACTAAAATGGAAAAGAGGATATTTAGTGCAACCAAATTAAATAAAATGTTTTCAAACTCCTATATATTTACCTTAACAGTAAAGTTCTCCAACTTATTGTCTTGGACTGACGAATCCGCGAAAGCGTTTTCCATCTTCTTGAATACAAAAATTTAAAAGCAGAAACATAGAGAAGAGAAAATAGGAAAATATATTAAAAAAGAAAATAATTAGTTTTGTCAACAAAAGAAATATTTAACTTGGCAACCCATAGATGGGAAATAATTGATGTGGTTTACATAAATACTATATACTTTTATGAATATTATTCAAAAGTATTCCCCCTACCCTTCTAATAATCATTTTCCCGTTTATCCCGCTAAATTTTAAAAATGAAGGGGGGGGGACAAGCTTTATAGAGAACCAAAACCAAAACAAGGTAAAAAAACATCGCAAAATCTTATTTTTATACCTTTACAGTACGATTCATCAGCTTGTCATCTTGAAATGAGGAATCTGCGAAAACGTGTTCCATCTTCTACAATTGAAAAAGATTATTGAAACATAGACGAACTATTAACGAAGTGGATAATCGGAAAAAGTACTGCAAAGAAAAAAGAAGAAAAAGGCCGAATTTAAATATCAAATTAAAGTTTTAAGCAAGAGGGGTGTGTACATAATTGAAAAATAGTTCCCACTTATCTTCTCAATAGTCAATTATGACAATTTCAGAATTTTTGTCGTTAAAATGATAATGGGAAAAATAAATGACTTGATAAAAAACCAAAATGTTTTCCAAATCCTATGTAATTACCTTCACAGTACAGTTCTCCACCCTATCATCTGATAACGAGGAATCCGCGTAAACGTTTTCCATCTTCTGAAATTTTAAAAATTATTTAAAAACTTAAAAACCAGAAAATGAAAAATGATATTAAGAAGAAAAAATTGGAATAGTTTAAAAACAAATATGATAAACTTGAAAACCTTGCATGGACAATTTTGATTTAAACTTTGAGCAAGGGTTTAAATTTGGAAAAAAACCCCCCCCCCCCCTCCCCCCTCAACATATGACAGAAATATCAAAGATTAATTACAATAATGGGAATAATATTATGAGTTTTCAGGAACCGATATAAAGAAGAGATAAAAAGTGGCTAGATCAAGTTTAATTTTTTATTTTTCCCCCTAACGCGTCAATCGAAATTTCCTTGCTTTCAAAACAGGCCCAGTGCAGATTTAAAGTGAAACTTATTTAAAGTAAGAAGGTTAACCCCTGAACTATATTCAGACCCTGTACTAATGTACTATAAATCTCGAGTTTTGTTTAATTCAACCATTTTTCTGAAAAACAGGTTAAATTAATAGTTAGCATAATAGTTTAAAATTTACAACTCATTTTATAACATTTAAACAGGGAAAGTTTGGTCTAATGGTCAAGAATAATCACAATTAATGCAAAGTGGACTGTAATAAGTTTTAAAAGATGTCGAATACACAAATTTTAATTTAAACATTTTTTTTAAATGTTACAGAAAACTATTTCATACTTGATTTTGAGAAAAATATACATACAATTCTGATTTTTATACCTTCACTGGTCATTAACAACATTAATTTAATCAAACAAATAACCAACAAACACAGCGATGGTGGGAGTTTTAACAATTTTAATGTCCACAATCCACATAATTTATAATTTATGGCTTTCAACATTTAGTCGCAACAGTGTCAACACATAATCTCTGCGTTATGTAGTTCGTAAATAAGATTCTTTAGATAAATAAGTTAATAAAGATATAAATAAGAGAATATTATAGTCAGAAAATAACTAATTGATTTAGAAAATTGAGAACAAATATAATTTTCTCCTGTTTAGACAGTTACATGTCAATTTACAATGAAACAAGAGAATCGCTGAGATTAATTTTCAGTCTGGGGGTACGATGTACATTGTATGATCTAACATCGTACAATATGTAAATAATGGTAACAGGTTAAAATCAAATTATTTAAAGGACTGTAAGAGTAATGTTAAGTGACTTTTCATTTGCAGGGGGTGTCCCCAATTCACAACGGTACTCAGTTCAACCACCATACATTTAAATGTTGAGTGAGAAGCAGTAAAAAAGGATATTACGCTAGCGTACTGTGTGAACTCAACGCGGATAACGTCACATTCATTGTTCTGTTTCAACCGTGGTTATCAATAATTTGAGTGTAAATATTTGAAATCAGCAACTTAAAGAAAGTAAATATCAATATTCCATAAATACAAAACCACTTGCAATTATGTTCAACAAGAAAGGAAAAGTCTGCCCTCCTTGATCGGTCTCAGGTTACAAGAGTACCGTTGTTAATCGGGGATAGTCTCTAAAAACCATAGATCACAGCGAGATATCTTTACTATCCAACATCAACATAAAAAAAAGCTTTTCAGCTTATCTGAAGAGATGAGTAGGGTTAGAGTGTTACATTCTTTAAAACAAGAACTAAGCTGCCCACCGATTCTATTCATCTATTTATGTTTATTAAGCTTGTGTGTTTTCAAGTTCCCTGCCTGGGTTGCTTCGTAATCACATTGATCACAGGGATATCTAATACCTTCATGTTTAGCCTCAGAGTGTCTTTTTAAAAACTCTTTCCTAGTAGTATTATAATCACAATACGTGCAGTTATACACTATATCTACGTGCTTTCTCCGTTTATGGTTGAGTAAGTTACTTTTGCTGAGAGCAAAAAATTCGCACTGATCGCACAGAAATTTAGCATTCTTGTCCCCGTGGCGAACTGCCTTGTGTGCTCTTAGATTGCTATGAAGAGCTCCAATATAATCACATTGATCACAGGGATACCTCACTCCTTCGTGTCTACTCAGCTTGTGCTTCTTTAAATACTCCGTAGACGTTGTAGAAAAGTAACATTGATCACACAGATACCTAATGCCTTGATGTGTTGCTTCCTTGTGATGTTTCAGCATACCTTTAGAACACCCTGTATACTCACACTGATCACAAGGAAACCGTTTTCCTTCGTGAACAATCTCCTTATGATATCTCAACCCACTTTCTGAAGCTCCGGAAAAACTACATTGATCACAGAGAAATCCCGCGTGTTTACTTTTCTTGTGATCTCTCAAAGCAATCCGGTTTGGACCTACAAACTCACATTCATCACAGGTGCAAGAATCCACCGGGTGCATTTTATCCTTATGTTTGTCTAGATCTCTGGCAGTATTAGTAGAAAACACGCAATCTTCACAATTAAACTGTTCCCCAGTATGTCGCCGGGCCTGATGCTTCTTTAAGGTCATAGAATTGGCGCCAATATAGTCGCACTTGTCACAAGGATGTTTCATACCGCCATGTTTATTTTTCATGTGTTTGAAGAGCGCCATGTTGGATGGAACCGCGAGGTTGCAAACAGTACAAGTGGTTTCCTTAATCTTTGAATGCTTGTAAGCCACGTGTCTCTTCAGTGATACAACACTTTTCGCGTGGTAGTCACACTGATCACATTTATGATCTCGAGGAACGTGTTTACTGCTCTTGTGTCTCTTCATATTGTACAAGCCGGATGCAAAGTAGTCACACTGATCACATTTATAATCCTGTATGTCCGGTGTTTCTTCTTTTATAAGTTTCTCAACGCCTAAATAAGAGACAAAGTATTCACAACAATTTTTTTCTCTACAATTTACATGTTACAGTGCAGGGGTGTACACAGAGGGGATTGGAGCTAAAAACCCGTAGCCCCCACTATTTTTACTAGTTAGTTAAGGAGGGGGGGGGGGGCTGAGCCCCCATGTGCCCATAGCCCCACTCTGTGTACGGCTCTGTTACATTGACATCAATAATTTACTTTTTTGTCTCAGATTAAAAAAGCATTGTATAATATATATATATATATATATATATATATATATATATAAGATAATCTAATTAAATGTTGGTTATAAGTTAAAGTTCAATACCTTATTAAAAACAATTAAAAATAGTTTTTCATTCACCTTCCATAATTACTTCAAAATTCAACAGAGCCATCTCATTCCCCCCATCCTCGTCATCCTCCCCGTCATCCTCCAACTCCTCCTTTATCATGAGGTCGGGCTTCACCTTCAGGTTCAGCCTCTCATCATCCTCGGATTTCACTTCAGAATCCTCACTAACATTGTCCTCCATTCTCTGAAAGAGTATACTTTTTATATATTATGCTAGAACATTTCAATATTTCTGGTTCAAAAATAAATAATGAGCATTTTGATCTTTATCTCTCTTGAGAGTAGACATTATAGATAACAAATTAACTGATATGATGAATGTGCCATAATTCTTAAATAAAAAAATACATTTTTGAATTTCATTTCTAATTGAGATTCTGATGATAATATACATTGTACAAAGAAGTTGTTAACAATATAGTAACAAAAATACTAAAAATGGTAACATTGGATTTCAAAACTATAAAAAAGCAAAGTTGAATATTTGCAATTTTTTCGAATTTTTGAGCAAAATGTTTACACATATCACAGGTTTTTTTTAATACTTTTATATATATCAGAATTCGATCATAGAAAGAGTATTCTTGTCTTTCTCGTCATTTTCGTCTTAATCGTCCTTTTCTTCCTGCAAGTCCTTTTTCCCTTTCCGTCATTTTCGTCCTTTTGTCGTTTTCGTCGTTTTCGTCCTTTTTTGTGTTTATCATCTAGTTTGAAGCATTTGTTTAACTTTTTCCTTCTCCTTTTCCTCCTTCTCTATTTCACTCTCCTCTTCTTTCAGCAGGCGTCTTGTGTGCTCCAACTCCTGAATTATTAAAATTATTTAGAGAAAGCTTGTCAGCTTATATTATATTTCAGTTACAAAAAAAGAAAACTAAAAAACATGAACAAATATAAAAAAGCAAAAATAAATGTTGTAAACAACTTAACATGAATATTTAATAATCACTCATGTCTCAATCTTTTAATCAGAACTCAACAAAAAGACCCAAAACAGCCACTTGGTAAAATAACCCTTTTCGAAAGTAAACAAAACTGTCATTTTTGAAAAACTTATCTCGATTAATTCATTTCATCATTATTCTCTCACACAACATCAAAAAAATAATGTTTCAATAGAAATAGCACACATTAATTAGTCTTTACAGAACAAATAAAATTGTGATTTTTGGAACAATGTTTATTAAAAAATAATATTTGATCCGGGTACACTTCCCTACTCAAGATTACATGCCAAGGTCAATACCTGATGCAGTAGTCGATGCACCTTCCACTCCTGTCGCTGGCAATCTCTGTTACAATACTTCGCGATCTAAAAAAGATCAAAATTAAAGAGTCAAGAATATAGAATGATTTTTTTAGATCGTCCCCCCGGCCCCTTCTGAACTTCTGACCAACTAACTTTCCGATATACTACAATATCCGACCTACGACAGCGGTTTATTTTGTATTATTTCCTAGTAAGGTTAGTTAAAGAAAGTTTCTATGCCAATGTTAAACTAGTAACTGTAAAACCACGTGCGAGTAGGTCAGAAGTGTAGTATAGCGGATTAGTGTAGGTCGAAAGATACACAATCTCTAGAATTTACTACAAATATTGAAAATATAGAGGACGACATTTTTATACCTTGCAATCTGTGCAGGTTTTCAGCAGTTCGGGGTCTTCAAATATCTTATTACAGGCCCAGCATTTCTTAACAAACAAAAATATTATAGTAATACAATAATTACAATAACAACTTGCTTGAGTACCCGGCGTTGCCCGTGGAATTAAAAAAGTTCACTCAAAAAAGTTAAGCCAATTTGGTCCAGTCGTTTAACCAGTTTTAACTAACTTGAACATATGTGAGCAAAAAGCTTTATAAAAGAGATAATAACAATAATAAAAATAAAAAATAAACAATTATCATAACAACAACTGCAATAAATATAATAAAATAAAAATAAGATAATGATAATTAAAGTTTCCTTTACCGAAAAGATCTAAAGCAAAATTGTCTAAAATTTGACGGAATGGGTATATTCTCTCCTAGCGAAAATGTAAGTGATATATTTCATCAGTAAATCCGAAGTTTTTTTAAATAAAACGATTATGAACTCTGTGAAGAGTTAAACTCAATTTGTCGATTCAGCTTATTCTTTAATAAACCTTCAAACATTTTTGAATTCCTTAAACTTAAAAAAATTTAGATTTTGCCTAAAATTTTTTTAAAGATCTAAATATTTATTGACTATGTCATGTTTTATGGCTGAATTATTCATTATCACAGAAAACAAATCGATTTTTAAATTACAAACATTACATAGGATTTAAAAAACATTTCATATGATTTTAAAACTAACTAAAAAAAATTAACCTTAGCTAATTTTTCCTCTAGACTAGTCGGAGAAACAGAAAAATTATTCTTTAGAAATTCAATCATTAGAGAGTGGTAAATACGCAATCCAGGGTTCAATTCTAGATAGAAGATTGATTAGAGAGTGGTAAATACGCAGTACAGAGTTTAATACAAGATAGAAGATAGATTAGAGAGTGGTAAATACGTAGTACAGGGTTCAATTCTAGATAGAAGAAAGATTAGAGTGGTAAATACGCAATCCAGGGTTCAATTCTAGATAGAAGATTGATTAGAGAGTGGTACATACGCAGTACAGAGTTCAATCCTAGATAGAAGATTGAGATAGAAGATTGATTAGAGAGTGGTAATTACGCAATACAGGGTTCAATTCTAGATAGAAGACTAGATAGAAGATTGATTGGAGAGTGGTAAATACGTAGTACAGGGTTCAATTCTAGATAGAAGATAGATTAGAGAGTGGTACATACGCAGTACAGAGTTCAATCCTAGATAGAAGATTGATTAGAGAGTGGTAAATACGCAGCAGTTCAGGGTTCAATTCTAGATAGAAGATTGATTAGAGAGTGGTAAATACGCAATCCAGGGTTCAATTCTAGATAGAAGATAGATTAGAGAGTGGTAAATACGTAGTACAGGGTTCAATTCTAGATAGAAGATTGATTAGAGAGTGGTACATACGCAGTACAGGGTTCAATTCTAGATAGAAGATTGATTAGAGAGTGGTACATACACAGTACAGGGTTCAATTATTACACAGTACAGGGTTCAATTCTAGATAGAAGATTGATTAGAGAGTGGTAAATACGCAGTACAGGGTTCAATTCTAGAAAGAAGATTGATTAGAGAGTGGTAATTACAGTACAGGGTTCAAAACTAGATAGAAGATTGATTAGAGAGTGGTACATACGCAGTACAGAGTTCAATTCTAGATAGAAGATTGATTAGAGAGTGGTAAATATGCAGTACAGGGTAGAAGATTGATTAGAGAGTGGTAAATACACAGTACAGAGTTCAATTCTAGATAGAAGATTGATTAGAGAGTGGTAAATACACAGTACAGAGTTCAATTCTAGATAGAAGATTGATTAGAGAGTGGTAAATACACAGTACAGGGTTGAATTCAAGATAGAAGATTGATTAGAGAGTGGTAATTATGCAATACAGGGTTCAATTCTAGATAGAAGATTGATTAGAGAGTGGTAAATATGCAATCCAGGGTTCAATTCTAGATAGAAGATTGATTAGAGAGTGGTAAATACGCAGTACAGATAGAAGATAGATTAGAGAGTGGTAAATAACGCAATCCATGGTTCAATTCTAGATAGAAGATAGATTAGAGAGTGGTAAATACGCAATCCAGGGTTCAATTCTAGATAGAAGATAGATTAGAGAGTGGTAAATACACAGTACAGGGTTCAATTCTAGATAGAAGAAAGATTAGAGAGTGGTAAATACACAGTACAGAGTTCAGTACAGAGTTCAATTCTAGATAGAAGATTGATTAGAGAGTGGTAAATACGCAATCCAGGGTTCAATTCTAGATAGAAGATAGATTAGAGAGTGGTAAATACGCAATCCAGGGTTCAATTCTAGATAGAAGATTGATTAGAGAATGGTAAATACAGTACAGGGTTCAATTCTAGATAGAAGAAATATTAGAGTGGTAAATACACAGTACAGAGTTCAATTCTAGATAGAAGATTGATTAGAGAGTGGTAATTACGCAATACAGGGTTCAATTCTAGATAGAAGATTGATTAGTGAGTGGTAAATACGCAATACAGGGTTCTACAGTGTTCAATTCTAGATAGAAGATTGATTAGAGAGTGGTAAATATGCAGTACAGAGTTCAATACTAGATAGAAGATTGATTAGAGAGTGGTAAATTCACAGTCCAGAGTTCAATGCTAGATAGAAGATTGATTAGAGAGTGGTAAATACACAGTACAGAGTTCAATTCTAGATAGAAGAAAGAAGAAAAATTCGAATACCTGGATTTTTCAACGAGACGACAAGATATTTCTCTACATGGCCTAGGAACAAAAAAGGACTTTATATTGAAAGTTTTTTACTATTGATAAAAATTCAGTATCCAAATATTATAACTTTTCTTAGAAATTCTTCCTTACCTGGAAAAGAATAAGTTTGAAGAACTCGTAGATTATGACGAAGGATTTCCTAAAAGAGGAAATTTTGATAAAACTAGTTAAATCTCAGTGTAAAAGCACAAGGGGGGAGTACACTTTAACTCAGAACTTTCAATACATCAAAAGAATATATAAGATGTCGTCTTGACATGTTTTCGATGAAACTTATACTATGATAACTAAATCTAAGTAATAGTAAAAATAAATAAATAGATATGAAATATACAGGAACAGGTTTGAAGAGCTACATTCTTTCTCCTTCTCCGAAGTCTTGGGTTAAACTTGATCAAATCAAGGAACTTAATATGGAATCCCAAGACTGCTTTCAGGATTGCAGCCTGGAGTGTTAACGCAACTGATTTTTATGATTCACCCTAAAAACCTCCATTCTTTGGCCTCTTGAGAACTATTTTCTACCTAAATTCGACAAGAATTTAACAAATGTTATTCTCAAGATTGTTACGCCAATATCCCAGAATTAAAAGTCATTTGATTTCCTGAAACTAAATAGATCTTTCGCCATAATTTGAAAATAAAACCGCCTTAAAAATATTATCATATATATTAGTTTTAAATATATATTATATAGCGCTATTTTTGAATTGCATTACACACCCTTGTATTAAATACTCACCTTTGAATCTTCATCACTATCTTGTCCCAAGAACAGTTTCATTTTGGACTAAACAATACCAAAAACTGTTAAAATTATTCAAATTATAAATCAATCAACTTAAAAAATAGCAACAATTAATGAAGTAATTAAGAGTTGGTTAAACTAATACTTCAAGGAAATTAACAAATAACCCAATAGAACATATTTGACAAAAAAATATCTACATGCAAGATGCCAAAAAATAAATTCAGTTAATATAAAAGAGTATTATTACGTATATAATTAAACTAATTCATCGAATATGTCAAATCCTTTTTTCACCAGCAAAACTTGACAATTATACAATTATAAAACAATGAAAAAAAAATGAAAACTTATTCAGTAAGTACCCACGGGATTTGCTTTGAATCATTTTGGCGAAATTATTTTTCTGGCTTACAATATTAATGATTTAATTTACACAAAAAAGCATGAACCTGAAAGATTATGAAAAATCTGAGGAAAAAAATCCCAAATCTTCTTTAAATGTATCAAAGAAAACTTTAGAAGTGGTGCAAGGTGGATTTGATCATTTTTATTCAAAAAAAAGCCCCTGCAAGTTTCACCCATAATATAATCAATTATATAAAAATGTAGATAAATACCTGGAGAGGATTCTCAGCTAAATACGAATTCATCTTCTTACATTCAAAAAAATACTCTAAAGTTTAAAACGTGAACTAAACATTATTTTCAAAAAAAAAAAACGGTAATTCTGGACTTTCAAAACTGAATCATCATTTATTGTACGTATCTTAAAACTGATGTCTTCGATAGTACGTCAGGAAATAATACGTTAAACCCAAAGAGAATAACTGTTCTGTGGTTAAGCCAGGTCAGATTTACAATGTATATAAAAAAAATCGAGCTAAAAAAGACGTTAACATATTTCATTCTAGTTTTAAATCTCTCCTAAATTGTCGGCATTCGGTGGAAATGCGACGTGAGCGTTGTCGATTGGAACTCCGTCAACCTATACAACGATCATTTGGATAAAATTTTTTTTAATTTTGTGCATCCATAAACCTTCCCTGGGGTCATGTGAGGTCCCCCCCCCCACAAAATTTTGGCCCGATCGGTTCAGTCGTTAAGACGTTTATTGGATACTAACGGAAAAACTAACAGATAGACAGACAAGCAAAGTATATATATACTAGGCTTTTAAGAACATGGTCTTTTTGTATACATTGTAAAATAAAAAAAAATAAAAATTTCCCGGATTTTATATAAAAAAAATTCTTGGATTTTACAAAATTTCAAAAATCAAATTTTGTAAGAAGCAAATTTTTGAAAATTCGATCATTCATAACCCTTTCCTAAGATCACACGAGGTTCCACACAAAATTTGGACCCAATCGGTTCAGGGATTTTGACGTTTATTGGATTCAAACAAACGAATAGACAGACAAGCCCAGTGTATATGGATTATGGATAGACTAGTGAAGATGTGCAAAAAAAAAATAAAAAGGGCACTTTTTTACATCTAAATCGTAATATTATAAAATACCTGAAGCCAAATATGAGGGGTGCCCTCAAAATCATCAGCATCAGATCTGGCCTAAAAATGTCAGATTTTTTTTAATTTATAAAATATTGATTTTATATTTCATGTGAACTTTTGCAGAATATGGCATCACTAATTTTGGGCGTCTTATCCTTTATCATATTATAAATATCTAATCTTCAAAATCAGCTTTTACTATGCTTTGCAAAATTTGATAAAGCCATAAGGCCTGAATGAACATTTTAAAAAAATACTCCTGTCAAGAGTCAAATTCGTGCATAATGCAAACTTTCTTAGCACTTACTTACTTGGAATATTTGAAAACACAAAAAAATCATAAACATTAAAGAGCGGATGAAATCATTATATGTTACTAAATGAGTACCTCAGGATCCCATTGTAGAATACCAAATACAATGGTGGACTCTATTCCAACAGAAGAAAGATAATACTGGAGCAAACCTTGACAAATTTTCAATTATTTTTATGCTAAATTTTGTCAATTTGTAATTTTAAGGGACTGTAGAAGTAATTTCAAGTGGACCTCCATTAACCGAGTAACAACGGTACGATAAAAACCATTGTATGATCGATGAGAAATCCTTATTTTCATATTCAGGGGCGGATACAGGATTTAAGTGAGGGGTGTGCAAATATATTTCGGAACAAAAATCCAGATTAAGGAACAAAATTTTTTTGTTAAGATAGATATTTTTCCTGTTTTGCACTAGGTTTTCGTTCCCTTAAGGAATCATAAAGAATTGAAATCTGAAAATGCGATTGAGGAGCTATTCTAAAATCTCAGGGGGGGTCTACGCCCCCCTCCTGAATCCATCAGGGGGGGGGCGAAGGTTCTGCCCCCCCCTGTATTCGCCCCCTGTTCATATTTGAAAATTCAGTGCTGGGAAACTCAAGGGTGATGCCATTGTCTAGTGTACACTGTGCATATTGTATTTAATTACCGCTTTATAATTAGAGGGTCACTTGAAACCACGCCTACGGTTCCTTTAATGAAAACTGATGTGAAAATATTGCGTGATTAAACAATAATCCAGTGCTTAGGATCCATTTAATATTGATGCGGATCCGGGTCCTGGATCCTCACTGGAAAAAAATGGATCCGGTTCCACCAGTCGGATCCAGGTTATTTCCATAAAATGTTCTGATTTTTTTAAGCAAAGCAGAATTTTTAAACTTTTAGTCTTATTTTTATAATAAAACTTGATGAACAAATCAGGAAATTTTTATAATCTCTATTTTTTCAATAGTTCAGATTTGGGTTTGAGAGTAAATTTTTTTCTACAGTTTTTTGTTGATAAAATTCCCTTTGGGTCCAGATCCGTGGATCCGCATATTTTTGCTGATCCGGATCCAGGAAGTCAAAATCTTGCGGATCCAACGGATCCGGATCCTAAGCACTGCAATAAACATAGATTTTTAAAATATATATTTTTTTAATATTTACCTGAAATTGCTAAGCTAGAGTTGGAGAGAATGAATTCGCTAAATAAAAACAATTTTCTTATCAAATTAGGTTTATAATACCTTTTCATTGTAAATTTTTTAGTTTTATTTTAAATAAAAAAAGGTTTTAAAAATGCCATCGCCCTTTAAATGGGAGTGGGAATCTATATAATAAAACAAGACAATCGTATATAAATATATTTTGTCTATAGCAGGCCAAACGGCTGGACCGATTAGTCTGAAATTGTTTGTGGACACTCAGGGGTGGCCATGGAATGTTATAGGCTATAAAAAATTCGACATTTTTTTAACTTTTTTTTTTAACGGGCAACACCTGGCCCCTCAGTTAGTATTATATGAAATTATATAACCCTAGTCTTCATAACAATATCAATAAAATTGCTCGTTCCTGAATTCATCTGATTTCGGAATATGGCCGGACTGAACCTAAAAATATATCAATATATAAATTTAGCTTGACTATCTGTCTGTCTGTTTGTTTGTATACAATAAACGTCAAGAACGGCTGAACCGATCGGGCCCAAATTTTGTGTGGGACCTCACGTGACCCCAGGAAAGGTTTATGAATGATCAAAAATTTTTATTTTGTAAGATTTTGAAAATGCGCGAAAAAATATTATGAAATCCGCAAACTTTTTTTTGTTTTTTGTTTTATACTGTACATAGACAAGATGCTAACAGAAAAAGCCACAATTAAAAGTTGAAATGGAAGATGGCCGCGAAGCGCCCTAAAAGCCTAGTATCTATATAAACAAAATTATAAAAACTAAAAGTAATGAAAAAACTAATCTATTACTTTGACTCCTTTTTACTAGCAAAGGTAACAAAACTGACAATTTAAAATTCTACTATACCTTTAGACTGTAGGACAGAAGTGGATTGATTTTAGCGGCAACAGGGTGATTTTCGAAAAGTTTCCAGGGGGGATAGTTGTACTTCTGAGGAACACCCTGTAAACAACTTTGTTTTGAATATGAGTAATTTGGAAATAAATTATTAGAGATGTATTTAAAAAAATAACAGAGCAAATCTGGATCACTATGTATTTTTGTATTTTTTTATTTTTTTTTATTAATTGGTTGATTGATTGATTGGTTTTTTGGTCGTTTAGTTATTTGATTGATTGATTTTTGGTTGTTTGGTTAGTTGATTGATTTTTTGGTTGATTGGTTTATTAATTGGTTGGTTGATTTTTTGTTGTTGTTACCTGGCCTAGAATTACTTTCCGTGACAACAAATGAAGAACAACCAGGCCCCCTAGCCTGTCCTGGCCCCGGCGCTCGGCCCCTAGACTTTCCTAGCCGCAGCGCTCGGTCCCCTATCCTATCAGCTGCAGCGCTCGGCCCAGAACCAAATCCTAAATATATACTTCTTTGTTGATAATTGTTGAAATTTAAGGTCTGTCCTGGCCGCAGCGCTCGGCCCTCTATCCTGTCCTAGTCGCAGCGCTCGGTCCAGAAATTGTCCTAACCTATAACTTAACCAACCCTAAAATAATACAAAATAAATTTTTTCAATGAAAATAGTTAAAATCTAGGTCATTTACAAAATTGATAGGAGGGGGTGTGGTCCAAAAATCGTATACAAGGACGAACCCAATATTTTATTTATAGAAACTAAAAAGCTTAATTAAATTGGCTTTCCGGACCACAAATTTCCATAAAAGACTCCTTTACTCCCTACACTAAATGGTGCTGTTCTCTTTTAAGAGCTTGCAAAAATAAACAACATTTCGCAGTTAGAGAGGGCTGAAAAGTAAAAAACTATAAAATATTTATTGTGCTAAGGAACTGGTGAACCCCTCTAACTACCTGCCTCTGTGTACTGTGTGTACGCCTCAACAAATTTAAAGTTTATTAAAAATATTTATTTCATTTATTTTTTAATTGAATTTATACAAGATTTTAAAAGGGACAAATTATTGTAAAATATTTTATCCCTGTTCCTTGGCGTTTATTTTACTTGCGTAAAATGAAAGCAGCGCGGCTTTGACGCACAACATTATTTTGTCCAAGGGACCAAAGTCGAAATTATAAAGTTTAAATTGATTGCGTACAGATTGGCGTGTTACCGAAAAATTTCCGGTGAAATTTTTATAATTTAGAAGAAGGTTTAAATATTAAATAAGTTAATTCGTAAAAAAGCAAGCGCTAAAAATAAAGTACGTGGTAATTTCTTAATACTAGGACAGACCCAAGTACGTTTTTATAGTGCTCTAAAATGATATATGTTAAGTTTATTGTTTAATGAGTACCACGTACGTACGTATTACATTAAAAATGTTTAATAAAGTCTCGTGAATAATTTTTTTTTACTTCTGATCTTCAAATGAGCTTTGTCACGATAATTGTTTAATATATTCTAATAACTTCGATAACAAATATTTTTAACGTTTTTATTTTAAGCGTTAACATATTTTCAACAACTTATACTTGATATGTTATGACAAATTTTGTGAGTTAGTCCAGAAAATTACGTTTTTTTTGTGTGTTGGGATTGGGGGACTAGGTGATGGGGTTTATTTATCGTAGGAAAATATACCCTTCTCCATATGAATATAATTGACTCCGTCAATTCGAAAGTCAATCTATCTTAAATTGTCATTTTCAGAAGGAAGAAGATCATGAAAAATGATTTAAACCTTAATAATGTCTCTAGTTGAAATTGAGCATGAAATTAGAGCAGGATTGCCTGGACACAAAAGTCTCAATGTTGACTTGGACCACGATGATCACATTAAAGTTAAACCTTCCCTTAATGATGATGTCAGTTCTGGGAGCTCAGATCAAGTTGATCCTGAAACCTATGCGAGCATGCTTCAACTCCTGGCAACGGAATCCGCGAATAATGATTTGTCGGAGAAATCCACGAAACCCTTGAAAACAAAAATATTGACTGTTGGTGATGTGGAGAACCCGTGTGATTGTGATAAGAATATTTCTGTTGATCACAACTACCATTTCTACCACTCCAATCAATGTAAAGATCGATTGATCAAGTCAAACAGTCAATTATCTGAAAATGGGAGAGATTCAACACTTTCCACTAAAAATAAATTTGAAGGAAAAAGTTTATCTATTTCTATCCAAACTACAGACAAAACTGCTCCTCAGGATAAAACCCGGGTCTCTTCCTTTAAAATTGTTTCAGTTTCAGAAATTAAATCCCAGCTAAGTCTTGAATCTGATGCCAACAAAGTTCCAAATGAAAAGACAACGCCCTCAAAACCAGGTTCCTTATTTTGATTTTATGAATACCTTAGTTTTTTAGTGTTGTTAATCGTTTTGGATTGTTTAAAAAACATGATTTAACTTCCAAGATTTGAGAACTGTAATAATATGTTAAGTTTGCTTTTATTCAACTTTGCAATATCTTTACATTTATAAAAATGGAAACACGTTCGTTCTTGCTTCGTTTTGGATCATTTTTGGGTCGTTTTTTCCATTTAACTTTGCCAGGGTCAAAATTTGTAAGAAACGAAAATTTTTGTAAAAATAATTTTGGTAACATGTGAAAATATTATTTTATGTCAAATTTTGACCCCGAAAGAAAGTAAAGTCAAAAAAGGACCCAAAAATAACCCAACTGAAGGCGCACCACAAAGTCTGTTAGCCACTATTTAAAGTCTTAAAAATTATATTTTATTATATCTTTACTCATTTATGTTTGTATTAGGAAAGCCCGCGACGCCTATCTGCTATCCCTGTTACGACTGCTACTGTATGTTTACTGACAAAGCAAAGTTGAGAGAACACGAGAACAGTTCGCATCCTTGCTCTTTATGCAATGCAGGAAAAACAAAACAATTAATTTAACATATTTGTTTTTGAATCTACTTGGGGGGGGGGGGGGTTATGAAAATGTATACATATGCTTAGTTCTCTTAAGTGTTAGTAATCTTGGTAATTCATTTGAATAAAGATCGAAATATGTTAAGATTTACAAAGTTAAGTAAATTTGATTAAAAATCGACATTACTGAGAATCCGCCATGGGATGTTTAGCTATTATTTACATCTGGGAACAACAGCATGTCATCCCAAGACGCATTCTCTGTGCTGTCCTTAATCTTCGTTAGTTCATATATTTTGTGTCCCTAGATAACTCCCTGAAATTGTGAAATCTACGAGTGTCATTAAATTATGGTCTACTATGTAACTATACCAATACTTAGTTTAAAATATTAATTTTTTGATCCTTGGCCAATTGTCAGTTTTAGATAAGTAACATATTTAATCTAAAAATAAAAAAAAAATTGTTTATAATTCAGTCTATTGTGATCTCTGCAACTTTTCATCTGATAATCCTGAACGTTTAAAACAGCACACAGAGAGAATACATGGTTCAGGTAGATTAATATCATAATATAGCACTGTTTGGGATCAAGTTTTTTATCCGGATCCTGTTTATATAATGTTTTTTAAATCCGGAAAAGCAGAAAAAAGGCTGATTTCAGTGTAATTCTTGTAAATAATCTATCACCAAGAAATAAGGTGTGTTTGCGCGCGAAGTATAGCCAAAAAAGTAAATAGTTTTTTAGGTTAAAAGAATGAAAAAAAACTTTTTTTGATCAATTATTTATTTTTCCCCCAGATCTAAAATCATTTCTTAAAATTATATACCCCTGAAATGGGTGAAACCATTTCATCAAAATTGTCAAATCCTGTTTGAAAATTAATTAAAAAATGATTTAAAAAAGAATTCACAAATTTAAAAAAAAATGTATTTAAGAAAATTTTTAGAACTGGTGCAAGATGTAAAACTAATAATATATATTTTAGAACTGGTGCAAGATGGATTTCAACATTGTTATCTAAGAAGTGCCCCATATTTTAACACTTAATTCAATAATTTGCTCCGAGCTATTGAAATATGGAAGAATAATTTTTTAATAAAATAAATTATGTGTATATACACTATACACACTATAAGTACATTTTTATATTTTCAGTTTCAACGAAACCTGGAATATCTAAAGAGGAATCGTCTTCTTCTAAATACATTGGATCTGTCACTTCTGAACTAAATGATAATTTCTCTAAAAATAAAACTGTTAAACCAAGTAACTCAACTGCTTCCAAATCAAAACAAAGGAACATTTCCGCCCAAATTCTAGACATATTCTCTGCTGCTGCTAAAACTTCCGCATCTGCTGTCCTCTCCTCCGCCACAGCTGTCCATACCTCTACATCTGTTGTCCTTACCTCCATCTCTGTTATTTCTAACTCTGCCTCAGCTGTCAATACCTCCGCCTCAGCTGTTAATCCCTTAGCATCTGCTGTCATTACAACCGCTGCAGCGGTCAACACCTCCGACTCAGCTTTTAATACCTTAAACTTAGCTGTAAATACCTCCGCTGCTGCTGTAAATACCTCCACTTCTGTTGTTGCTATCTCTGCCTCAGCTGTCAATACCTCCGCCTCAGCTATTAATCCCTCCTCATCTGCCGCTGATACATCCGCCAAACCTGTTAATACCACCGCCATCAATAGTAATTCTCTTCCCCAGCTATCAAATGTTCGATCTTTAAACTCCTCTGAGAACTGTAAGCTAGAAGAGATCAAATATGAGATGGATATTGGCTCAATCTCTGATGAAAATACAGTAAAAGACACGTCTACTCTAAACAGTGTTGTTTCTCCAGAAAAAGTTGATTTTGAGAAGGATAGTTCAGCATTTAGACCCACAGTCATAACCCTGGGGAATAAAAATTTTACTGGAAAAGTATCTTTGCCATTTATTAAAAACCCATCAGATAAACCTAGTAACACTGCTCCTGTGATAAATAAACCTGTGCCAGAAAATAAAGAAGCAACAACTATATTAAATAAAGATGTTCCTTCTGTAAAGGAAGTTGTAACAACTCAAAACTTGAAGAACCTTCGAATCATAAACTATTTTCCAGAGCATGAGAAACCTTCCCCATTCACCATAGCACCACCAGACCCAGAGGAAGCTTCAACAGATCCTAAAGGAAACCTAAGCGAGAAAGATAAAGAAATTGCTGAACAATCTGAACCTGAGAAAAAGAAGGGTCCAGAAATAATAATATTTGACGGTCATCTTCCAAGTTATTACTATTCTGGTTATGGTCTTCATGGAAATGAGTTAACTTTTAAAAGAAATGTTATGAGTACAAACTTAACTCAGAAACAACCACTTCAAACCTCTGCCAATAAAGTCGGTCAGAAACGCTCGAATAGTTTCGAAGCTGCCCAAGTTACCCAGTCTAAAAGGCCCTCTGTGGAACTATACTCGAGAACAGAACTAAAAAGTAATTTACCTGAAGTCTCCGGTCCTCTTCTTATTCAAACACCTTCTGTTGTTAATTCTCAATCAAAAACTAAAAATATTTTTAAAAATAAGAAAACTGTTTCTCTACTCTCACACCTAGAACCAGATCAGCTAAGTACGAACCCTCTCTGCATGGATAGTTTTTTGTCTTGTAATCTAGATTCAGGAAACAGATTTAATCTCCAGAATGAATTAAAGAAAAAAGAAGTGAACAGAGCCCCAATTGATCTTGACACCTCTAAACCTCAAAAGACTATAACGATTAGCAATCCTTTGAAAGGTAGGAGAACAGTTCAAACTTATAATTATAGTTTTGAACTAAGCGCTCCCAATGAAATACGTCTTCAGACCGGAAGCTCTGTGAAAGAAATTCGCCTGGCAGTCCCTATTGTTCAAGAAAAATCTGTTGTCTTAAACAAGAATTCTCGAGAAAATGGACCGAAAAATATTGATGCTAACAATATGGATCCTGACGGGCCTACTATTGTGTCCGTGACGTCATTAAAAAATAAATCGGATTCAGAGATTTCTCCTGAGAAAGATCGCGGATTTATTGATTCCAACAACATAGTTGTTCCAAGGTTTGAATGTGATAAATGTGATCATGTGTGTAAAAGTCAGGTTGTCCTGTGGCATCATCTTGAAGAAAAACACAACAAGATCAATTGTGATCAATGTGGAGAACTGCTTTTGAGGGATAGCATGAGATATCATAAAAGAAAATTTCATTAAAAATCTACCTATTTTATATTTTCTAGTTTATCAATAAACTTATATGAATTCCTTTATGTTTTTCTTACAGATTTTTCTTAAAAAGGGTAAAATAAGATGAGAAAAAATTTAACGACAAAATTGTAAACCCAATTTTTTAAAGAAATCATATTTTTTCATTTATCTAATTAAAAATATGTTTATTAATGAAAATTTTATCAAGATTGTGTTTTATTAAATAATGTTTCCCTGATCTCTGTATTGTCAGTTTAGCTACGATCTAGGATTTTGAACTGTTTCCCCCCTGAAGTTCTATCTTGATTATAATATCATATCCTGGAGAAGATGCTGAGATTTCTAAGGATAGCTGACTCCTCATAAATTTCTATAACTTTCGGCTCAAAAATGATAAATGTCAATTTGTCTAACGTTTGCAAGAGAATGGCACGTTGTCGTGAAGAATTAATAAATTTAGCTTAGACAACAACATTTAACATATCAACACTCCCATTATTCCTTGACCGAATGCACGTATGCCTTATTAGGCTTCAAGGACGTTTCGCGTTTCTCTTATTCCTTTTATTGCTTCTTATACTTAAAAAATCCGTGGCAGTTATTATAAATAATGACTAATACAATAAGCTATATTCGGGTCTTAATTGTTTTTTTTGGTTTGTTATCATTAGTATTGCATAAAAACAACAATTCAATATAGATTAAAGAGAAGAAATACTGAAGAAGAATATATTGAAAAGTTCGACTGTATACTAGAATACCCGCCTCTCTTGCCCTTAATCTGTATAATTTGTTGTAACTAATGCTTTATCTATGATGTATTATAATTCTTTAATGGGCACATACAGTTAAACCCTTAATGAGCCATATATCAAAAGAATTTATCAAATGTCGTCTAGACAATTTTTTAATGTTTTTTTTGCTATTTTACGTAAATATCAGTATTTGCAAAAATAAATATAAAGCTATGAATATGCGGAAACAGTTTTAAAGAGCTCCATATAATCATTTAATTAAAAAACTAAATATCTGCAACATTTCATTATCAGAAAGTGAAGAATACAACATTTGATGAATTCTTTCGATGTACGGCTTAACTGTAGCTTATCTGAATGCAAAGCGAAGACACAAAACACAGTATAAGATACTTCACATTTACTCCTACCGTTTACCCGCACTTGGTCTAAAATTACGATTTTAGTTATTTTTCCCTGTTAGATTTAACTTTGACCCCATGGGTAGCATAACAATCCTCAGAATAACCGTTTTGATGTAGAAAGTTGTTTTTACCGAGTGTGGTGGATTTTGGAAATTTAGGGGGCAACGCCCAGACCTCAGCTTGTAAAATACATGAAGCGCGCCGCGCCAAAATCATCTTTTACTTAAAAATTTCATCTTTCGTTTGTCTTACAGAACTGCACAGTTCTTGTGTATGAACCATTGCATGTGACCATCTATAAAAAAAGCAAAATTTGTCCAATGTTTTATAGGTCAGTTAGTTATAAAAATACAAAAAAGGAAGACCACATTTTGTAAAGCTTAGAAGACCTAAAGCTTGTATTCTTGCAGTAGACATAAAATTTGTTTGGTACACTTTTTCTCATTTATTAGATGAGATGATTTTCAAATCGTCTCTAAATTCCCGTGTTTGTTGAGATCCCTGTATAAAAAGATTTTAAGAACGTTGTCATCAAAATTATTTCTCTATAAATCAAATCAAATATTATTTTCCTCAAATCATGTGAACAAGTAAACATATATATATATATATATATATATGTATATATATATATTAATAAAATTACAGAACATTTTACATTTTTCATGACCAGGGTGTTAAAGAAAGAATGTAAGTATACAGGGTGTCCTACAAAACATGACAGTTAATATAAAGACTTGGAGGTCGTCTTACATCATTTAAGTGATTTGCAGAATTCGTTTGTCAAGAGCGGGGGAAGACAGGCGGCCATAAGCCATAACATTTTTCCCTTCCATGCCACATATTGGCTTTTTTGTCTTCCGGTAACCATAAGCCACAACCGTTCAGACTTCCATGCCACAACATTCGAGCCTTCCGGCAATTATTACGTTTCAAATGGTAAATTTAGTGCATTGAAATTTTGATTTTCAAAAATGTAACCACGTCATGCAAAAGATATATAAAGTTATATTTAAGTTTTAAATTGAAATAATGATGACTCCGTTTAATGTAAACTGCTAAACTTATTTTACCCAAAAAATAAATTTAATCTTTCCTATTAAATGGTTTTTTTTGAAAACATTAATAACAATAAAAATAATACCCCATAACATACTCTTTGAGTTTAAATGGTGCCCATAACCAAAAATTTGCAATATTTAACGAGAAAATTGCAAACAGATTTATTTTTGTGGAAATCTGTAACGCTCATGTGATGACAGCTAATATTGTGATTTTTTTTCATCTTTTCTTGTTCTTTAGACTACCCCAACCAATTTTTCTCGATGTACACATAGCTTAAAATGATGTAAAAACTTCTTTGTGAAATATAAAGCATTTTATCAACTGAACTAACAATTCATTGAATTTTAATAAACTTCTAAAAATTCTTAAAGGTATCATCTTTCGTTTAACGCATGCTGGATTTTTGAAAATCCAGCAATGGACTAAATTTAAAACGTTACAATTGCCGCAAGACTCAAATGTTGTGGTACATCAAAGATAAAATGGCTGGCGGAAGACAAAATAAAACTAATATGTGGCATGGAAGGGAAAATGCTGTGGCTTATGGCCGCCTACCTTCCCCCGCTCTTGTCAAACTAAGTTTACTAGTACAATGAGAACCAGAAAACTGTGGAATACTCATACGATATCGGGCATACGCGGTTTCAGGGTGGGGGTGGCAGCCCGTTACCCCCCCCTCTGAGTGAATTTAGGGGGGTGTAACCCCCCCCCTTGGATTCATACAAAATCATTACTCCGAAGGCTTTTGACCTGGAACAGGTCATCAAAAACCTTCAACAGGTTGGTCAAGCTGGAAAGAATGTCGATGCACCCAAAGAGGATTGACTCAATTTTGGAAAACAGTGTTTTAAATTACTTTATTACTTTATTATGATAAATTATACATTTTTGAAAAGCCCTTACCACGGAAAATTAAAATATGCAAAAATACTTAAGGAAATGTGCAATTTCTCAGTGCAAAAAATTAAGCAAAATTTCTTTGCTTCTTTTGTTCAAGGCTTTCCAAAGAGCTATAAAAAGTCAACATCCAATTACCGGAAGTAGGTCTAAATATAGGTTTAGTCGGGTAAAGGTAAAATAAGGCATTCAGGCAGTAAGTATAAAAGACCTGCTTTGAGCCTAAAGTGAGGGCATGTGTTAGTTAAAAAAGTAAAAAAATGTTAACACACTGAATCGCTGCAATAAAAAAGTATATTTTATACACTGGGGATTCAGTGTATAAAATATACTTTTATACACTGAATCCCTGCAATAAAAAAGTATATTTTATACACTGAATCCCTGCAATTAAAAAGTATATTTTATACACTGAATCCCTGCAGTTAAAAAGTATATTTTATACACTGAATCCCTGCAATTAAAAAGTATATTTTATGCACTGAATCCCTGCAGTTAAAAAGTATATTTTATACACTGAATCCCTGCAACTGAAAAGAATCTGAATTATTGCATATCTATTTAAACTAGTGTATAGCTTAGAAATATTGAGCTCTGTGTCAAGTTCCATTTTCTCAATTTTTTAATGGTGCTTAACAATTAAACCTTTTAACAATTAAACCTTTTAACAATTGAACCTTTTAACAATTAAACCTTTTAACAATTAAACCTTTTAACTATTAAACCTTTTAACAATTGAACCTTTGAACAATTAAACTTTTTAACAATTAAAGGGGATAAATCTTTTATTAAACCAATATATATCTTCAGACAAATTAGTATCGGTTAATTGTAGCTGGGAGGCCAGGTTTATTTATTAAATTATTGCAGTTTAATTGTTCTTAACAGTTGTGAGAGAATTTTAAATTCACAGAATATAAATATCAAAAAGTCTGGGAATAATTCAGAAAACGTAACGTGATTTTGAGTACCGTTAAACTTGAACATTTGACCTCGATATCCAACGGGGACACTTTTAAATCCGAGGACAAATGCTTGATCCATAATTTAAAGTTACACATTCAAAAGTTCTGACTACTGAGACCGAATTTAAAGAATTTCAGCCAGGTAAAAACCTGGCCGAACTGTTACCGTCGGTTCAAATTTGAACCACCGATTCAAATCCAATTCTTGAATTTGGTCTCAGAACAAATATCAGTATTGGACAATGTACATGGAGTAAATTTTGAAATAGGTTATGAATAATTTTTAAAATGGGAACAGTAAATTTGCATTATCTTTATTTTTATCCAACTATCTACAGTGATCACAAGAAAACTCTAAAATAAAAAGCCGCATTTTAAACTCAAGATGTGACTTTAAATAGTCCAATGCAGTGTGAACAGACCTAAAAGTGATTTAATAAATTAATATTAAAGCTTTCAGCTTTGCAGCAACATGAAATACACTTTAGTACTGTTTTAATGTCGTCTTCCTATTCTACAGTTTTCTGGTTATCACCGTGTCAATCTATCAATTAAAAAAAGCTTCAGAGAACTTTTTTGCCCATCTATCTATCTATCTATTTATCTATCTATCTATCTGTCTGTCTGCCCATCTATCTATCTATCTATCTATCTATCTGTCTGTCTGTCTGCCCATCTATCTATCTATCTATCTATATATCTATATATCTATCTATCTATCTATCTATCTATCTATCTATCTATCTATCTATCTATCTATCTATCTATCTATCTATCTATCTATCTATCTATCTATCTATCTATCTATCTATCTATCTATCTATCTATCTATCTATCTATCTATCTATCTATCTATCTATCTATCNGGGGGGGGGGGGGGGGGGTGCATATACTAGGTTACATATTGAAGTATAAGGAAAGGGTTTTAATGAGATGAGTGGACCGAATGTAGAGGGAGGGGGGAGGAGTTGATTATGTTGGATCAGAAATTGATTTTTGATAATTTGTTTAGTTTATTAAAGCTGAACCATGTTCCTAGCTCCAACATTTGCCTCTTTAAAACATGCTGGGAATCTAGTCAAATATGTAAAACAAATTCGGACAATTTTTAAATCATAAAGAGTAAAAGAATAACAAATCTTTTTCTCAATACTCTACATTAAGTATGTTTTGTTTAAGTTTGATCTGTAAATCTAGCACTTTGATTTGACAAATAAATAACTATTCATGTCTTCATCACAGGGTGGCAATAGGGATGTGATAAATAAAATTTATATAATATATTTATTGCGTCCATGTTGCATCCTTAGGGTTGCAATCTAACATTTCAGGGTTGCAATGTAAATATCAGGGATTCAATAGTGTCACATTTTCCAAAATTTTATGTTTTTACTCCCTAATTTCACAAAAGTATAATTTCTACTGACCTTTCATCCATTATTTTCAAATAGAAATCTCTAGTTAAAGCTTTGTTTTTATAAAAGTTAAAAACTGGGTATAGTTTTTTTAAGTTGTTGGAATTGACGTCTTTCGTCATTTCTTCAATTATTTACAAAAAGGAATTGAGTCTTTGCCACAAACTCTGTTTTTCTAAACCCTATATCTTCGTATTCCAATGTCGTAGACCTTAGATATTTCAAACTATGAATTCTGTTAAATCAAATAATATAAGTTTGAAATATCAAAGGTCTACGACATTGGTTGCAAAGATATAAGGATTACAAAAATTGAATTTGTGGCAAAGACTCAATTCCTTCACGGAACACGGAACACGGAACAATGGTTAAGTTAAAATTTTCCCAGGATTTAATGTTTTAAAAACCTGTCCAAGGAATAGAGTTTGGAACATTATCTTAGAACATTATCATCCTTTTTTTAATAGATTTTTTAGGAATAGAGTTTGGAACATTATCATCCTTTTTTTAATAGAGTGGAACATTATCATCCTTTTTTTTAATAGAGTTTGGAACATTATCATCCTTTTTTAATAGAGTTTGGAACATTATCATCCTTCTTTTAATAGATTTTTTAGGATTTTGGGCTTTAAGGAGGCTTTACACAATGACGATTAAGCAAAATTTTGACTTTGACAAAAGATATAACTTTAAGCCAAAATTATAACTTCAAGCCAAAATAAAGCAAAATCAATCTTTTGTTTACGGAGGATTTGAAAAATGTTCAGGTTTATATCTTTAGCCAACAGAGTCAAGAATTTTCAAAGTATAATAAAAGAAACACATCAAGGGAATTCTATTTTGAAATATGACAAACTTCTCCGAAAGTTTTTGAGTCTCCTAAAGCCTATAATATAGAAACCTAATAACATATTTATAACACTGTTATTTTGGTTCACAGTGTTATAAAGTTTTTGGACAGAAATTTTCTCTTTATTGAGAAGGTTCAAGCCTTTAGATTTAATTTTGTACCGAGCAAGGGACAAGATATAATTTAAAAAGGGGAGAACCTTCGAGATGCAGAGAAGATTTAAGTCCAAAAACTTTATATGGCACGTCGTGCCAAAATAATATATTTTATGAAACTATAGTGTACCTTATCATTCTTACAAACTTCATTATGAATTTCATAATGAACGTGCTATAAAGTAATCATCGTGCTATAAAGTTAAATTTAGGATATTTCCAAAATATTTTTTCAATTGAAATGAAAATAAAATTGATATCAACTTTATATATTTTGACCTCTGCTTTGTTTCTAGAAACAGCCATTGAAATAAGACAAATACACAAACGTGTTATAAAATTACCTATTACACATTATTATTTTGGCACGACGTGCTATAAAGTTTTTGAGAAAATTTCTGTCCAAAAAAATTGATAACACTGCGAACCAAAATAACAGTGTTATAAATAGTTATTTTTTTTTAATGAAAACGATGCTCAGGTTTAATTAGAAAGAGCTCTGTTTGTGAATATTGAATGAACTCTCTAAATACTAAACAAATTAAGCTAATTATCCCTTTCAACATTTAATGTTCTTCAACATTTCTAAACTAAAAAGATACTAAATTAAATCTAATTTTCAAATTTCAGTCATACAACTCTAGGAAAAAAAACTATATTCCTAAATCACGAAAATGTTTTTAGAGTTGTTCTTTTAACAAATTATTATGGAAAAAAGTTATATATAACATATATACTCGTGAAAGTACAGCTAGGGTTTCCACCCGAATACCGGTTTACGGTTTACGTACGGAAATGATTTTTTTCCATTTTCATTATGGGAAACATTCCGGAAAATAGTTTCGAAAATTTCCAGTTTACGGGAAAAATCGAGTTTCCGAAACTTTTTTCCATAATGGAAAAACAGAAAGAAAAATCCGGATCATTTCCTTACGTAAAACCGTAAAACGGAATTTTGGTGGACACCCTACGCAGTACGCAGATGTGATATAGGAATATCCTTTAACAAACAATTTGTAATTGTGATTATGTTTTTTCATGTTATAATTGAAAAAAAACATCACGACATTTTAAAATTAAATCTGAACAAAACTTAATTTACAGCTTGCAACACTCCCCCTTAGCTGCATAACCCTCTTCCAAAAGTTTTTTTTCTGGGGAACAAATTTGACGTTAATCTGTGTTTTCATTCAGGACTTAAATACTTTTTATGCTTTCGTTCCAAAGACTTTTTTTTCAAATATTCTTTAATTGACTAATATCAATATCAGAGGAGTCCCAAGTCTCAAAATATTATCATGGATATCATTTAAAATGTCCGTTATTTGATTACTCCAAAAATCTGAGGGAAGGGGGACCCTAATTCTGATACTACTGGGGGACCCTAATTTCTCCGTGTCTAGTTACTGGAAATCCTGTGTCCTGCCCCCCCCCCCCTTATACCTTCTATCCTTTCTAAGCTCCCCTCCCCGCGGGGTCCCTACAATACCGTGAACCTAGATCGGTCCAAACCCCCCTTCCTCCCCCGGTACTGGTCAACTTACAGTCCCGCTGTGATCCGACGGTCAACCCCTCCCTTCTCCCCCTTCTCCTCCTCTTCCCTTCTATTTTAGGACCAGTTTCTTCAACAGTTGGATTTAAGGTTTTAGTTCAAGAGCAGGGACGGAGAGAAGTCGGAACTTTTGGTTAAAAATAAATTTATTTTAAGTGATTTTTTAAAATGGAGGCATTGCTTCCTTTGCTCCAGATGAGAGCACAGATGCTCCAGGATTCTAATATGTTGGAGAATAGGCAGAGATACACCTCCACTGCCTCATCCATTCCTTCCTCTCCAACTACACCTATCTCTCCATCCAATATGTCTCCATTTATGAATTGTTGGATGGACAATAACCATCAGCAACAGCAACAACAGGCGTACTTAAACCAATTAGCAGCGATTAATATGCAACTGCAACAGCGTAGATTACTCCACTCCTCCACTTCCTCACCCAACCCTCTCACCCCGGCACTCGAGAGCCCAACAGAGAAAAAGAAGAATATATTCAATTTTGAACTTGAATTACCAAGGTTTAAACCTAACCCTGAGCCCCAGGAGGAACCTATAGACCTGAGTAGCACTAAATCTCAGGGTAGGGAGTCAAGTACTACCCTAGATACACTGGAAACCCCGTCCATCAAGTCAGAGCCTGACACGGAGCAGGATTCAAGGTTGGAAACCCAGTCTGATATATCCGAGTCCCCCCTGGTATCTGGAAGAAAGCGGAGTAGATCGACCAGCTTTGAAGAACTCCAGTTTGAAGAGAGTGAGGACGATGATGTGTTTGAGAAATCTCCGCTCCCTGCCCTTGACCCTAAACCTGCGTTTAGACCATATGAGAAAGGTGTGAAACGGCGGTTTTCCGTCCCTGCCCCCCTTCCTCTACCATCTATACCATTGAACCATTCTCTACCTTCTGCACACAGTCTACCATCTCCCTACTCATCACCTCACTTCCCCTTCTCCCCTCATATTCCCTTCATGGAACAGATTTCTCCATTCACTCCTCATTTCAACTCAGTTTTCCGTTTCCCACCCCCGGGTTCCTTCCTACCGCCGGACTGGTTAAATTCATCGCCAAAATTTCCACCCGCATCACCCCTGGATCTACCGCCCATGGGTTCATCTAGTTTCCCGCCAACACAGGCGGAATCTGAAGCTCGGCGGTTGTTTCTTTCTCGCCTCCATTCGACGGTTTTAAAGCTAGAACGGCGGGAGGATGATGAAGAGGAAACGACGGGTAGAAAGCAAGCACTGGCGGGTTATCAGGTACAGGTACAAAACTATTTTAATTTAAGAGCAATTGGTATCTAAGAGACATAATTTAATAAATTAATTTTTTCTCTTAATAATTTATCAACATTTAATCTAAAATTTTTAAGTTGAAATATTTTCAGGGAACTGGACCTATACAGCTGTGGCAGTTTTTACTTGAACTTTTAACAGATCCTGGCTGTCAACATTTCATCTGTTGGACAGGGGAGGGATGGGAGTTCAAACTAACAGACCCTGATGAGGTACGGACACAAACATTTCAATACCAAACTGTAACTCATTAATTTGCTCTTTAATAGCAAACTAACAAACCTTAAAGAGATACGGACACAAACATATCAATAGCAAACTGTAACTCTTTAATTAACTCTTTTAATAACAAACAGACCCTGATGAGGTACGGACACAAACATTTCAATACCCAACTGTAACTCTTTAATTAACTCTTTAATAACAAACTAACAGACCCTGATGAGGTACGGACACGAACAAATCAATACCAAACTGTAACTCTTTAATTAACTCTTTGATAACAAACTAACAGACTCTGATGAGGTACGGACACAATCATATCTATATCAAACTGTAACTCATTAATTAGGTCTTTAATAACAAACTAACAGACCCAGATGAGGTACGGTTTGACTGTTATTGAACACAGACAGACAGACAAGCCAAATATAGATATATGATCTGAAGGATTTCTTTTTACTAATGCTATGATGGGTCCCCAGGTGGTTTGGGACTGCAGTAGTATTCTAGTATTCTTATCATACTTTCACCACACACACACACTTCTATTCTACTCTCATTTATTCTACTGTTCCATTCTCTTCTATTCTACTGTTCTAAATCTACTCCCTTATAGATTAGTTTTCTACTCTTTCTATTCTACTCTCATTTATTCTACTATTATACTCCCTTCTATTCTACTGTTCTAAATCTACTCCCTTATAGTTTAATTTTCTATTCTCTTCTATTCTACTGTCCTACTCCCTTCTTTTCTACTGTTCTACTCCTTTTTAGTCTACTGTTTGAATCTATTCTATTCTACTGTTCTACTCCCTTCTATTCTACTGTTCTAATCTATTCTATTCTACTGTTCTACTCCCTTATATTCTACTGTTCTACTCCCTTATATTCTACTGTTCTACTCCCTTATATTCTACTGTTCTCCTCCCTACTATTCTACTGTTCTACTCCCTTCTAATCTACTGTTCTACTTCCTCATATTCTACTGTTCTCCTCCCTACTATTCTACTGTTCTCCTCCCTTCTATTTTACTGTTCTACTTCCTGATATTCTACTGTTCTACGCCCTTATATTCTACTTTCTCCTCCCTTCTATTCTACTGTTCTACTCCCTTCTATTCTACTGTTCTCCTCCCTACTATTCTACTGTTCTACTCCCTTATATTCTACTGTTCTACTTCCTGATATTCTACTGTTCTCCTCCCTTCTATTTTACTGTTCTACTTCCTGATATTCTACTGTTCTACTTCCTATTTCTAAGAATATATTGTAGGTAGCCCGAAGATGGGGAATGAGGAAGAATAAACCAAAGATGAATTATGAGAAACTATCCAGGGGTCTCAGATACTACTATGATAAGAATATCATTCATAAAACTATGGGGAAAAGGTACGTGACTAAATCTCTTCATGTTTCTCAACCTTTTATCTATAATTTCCAATCTATTCTTTTGCTATCCCGTGATGGTCATAACCTTCAGGAATAACATTCAAAGAATCCTCAAATTTAAAAGTTCTCTTTTGGATTTCGAAATCAAGCGTTCAACGTTAACGATACGCAAAAGCCAGAATTACAGATCTCTTTATAGCATATTGCTATTTAAGTACACTTTTTATCAACTCTCTTTTATTTCAGGTACGTTTATAGATTTGTTTGTGATTTACAGAACCTGTTAGGCTATACACCCACCCAGCTGCACTCCATGGTACAGCAGATTTCGTAGATTATTATGTACAATTGCCGCAGTAGTTGTCCATACAGGATTCATTCAGTGTTGACTCTGCCTTGGAGCAAAAAATAACCAATTCTCGAGTTCACAATTGCTGTACGCGCTTGCAGTTAGCAGATTTGCGGAGCAGTACTGCAGTAGTCATTTGTATACATTTCTTCCATTTACAATCTTAACATGTACCGTTATTCTCATATTCTTGGTGATAATTGTCTTCCAACATAATCGTCTTCCAGCAGTGCATGTTCAAATTGTACTGTACATTGTACATAGTATTTGTAGTTTTTGCATTTTTTGCAATAAATATAGCTATATTTAATTCTATGTTTGCAAATCCGCATCAAATGCAAACATTTCTATTTTAATTTTCTTGAAATATATTTGAATTTTATCTAAATCTTTGTATTAATGCATTTAAAGATATTTAAGAACAGTTTTATGTAAATGGCCACATACAAAGTGTCCCTCGAAACATGACAGTTGAGAGGCGGCTTGAAGATCGTTTTTCATCTTAAATTCAAAAGTAAAATTCTGAAATCAATAAAATCATTATTAGTATATTAAATCTTATTGAGTCTGCACGATGTGGAGGATATAGGGACTTTAATGTTGTTCATGCTATTTTGACTTATCATATTCAAACCTATTGAATAACTTGTAGTTGAACTACAGGGTTACCAAGGATGAGACTTTAAAGCCGAATGTATCGATATTTACGAGTCCCCTTACTCCAGTAAATTCGTTTTTTCTCTGTCAAACCATTAAATAACCCACTAAACTACCATATTCAGGGAAAAAAACTTAATTTAATCTTTGGATTGTCTCATTTGTCGTCTTTACGGTCTCATCCTTCGTGGGTAACACTGTATGGAACTATTGAAAACTTTGCAGTGCTTCGAAATAAACTGCATGTCTAGATATACAATATCAATCAGTCAATCTAAACTAAAGGTATCGAATACAGGGTGTATGGCCTATATGCTAATGATTAAACACCAAACATCTGTTCTGTATCAAGGTTATACTGTATTACTGTAAAGTTAAATGATATTATGATCAGCTTGAGTTTTCTTTTTAATCACCCAACCTCTGGTATTCAGCCCGGTGTTAAGTTATTCACCGTCAATCTTTTTAACGAAGGAAATATTTTCATATTTTAGTTTTTACCTAACATTACACCGGGTCTAAATAATGAATATACTGGTGGGCATTACATAACCTTACACCAAGACTTAATAATGAGTATTTGTGGACATTACATAACATCACACCAGGACTGAATAATGATTGTATTAATGAACATTACATTGCACTGTGACTGAATGATGAACATTTGTGGGCATTACATAACATTACACTGGGACTAAATAATGAACATTTGTGGATATTACATAAAATTACATCGGGACTGAATAATGAATATATTGGCGAACATTACATAACATTACACCGGGACTGAATAATGAATATATTGGTGAACATTACTTACCATTACACCGGGACTGAATAATGAATGTAATAAATCTAGGCCCCGATAAATCTCCGAATACTTGACTCTTAGTTTAATGTCAGTCTCTCTGAATCTATCGCTAACCAAAATTCAAGGCTCTATACAGTATACAAGTCTCTAGCCAAAACTCAAGGCTCTATACACGTCCGTCTACATCGACTATTTCTATCATACTACTTTATTAATACAGGTAAATAGAACTGACCGGAATAGCCGGTCAGGGTCGATATGAAACATAGATAAGATAGATAAACGAATATAGATAATAAAGATACTACTATCATGATTACATAATTCATTACATGAATACATTGGTGAACATAACATAAAAAATTACACAGGGACTGAATAACTATATTGGTGGACATTAAATAACATTACACCAGGACTGAATTTATTGGTGAACATTACATACCATTAAACCGGAATTAAATATATTGGTGAAAATTACACCGGAACTGAATATATTGGTGGACATTACATAATATTACACCGGAACTGCATATATCGGAGAAAATTACATAACATTACACCGAAGCTGAATATATTGGTGAACATTACATAACATTACACTGGAACTGAATATATTGGTGAACATTACATAACATTACACCGGAACTGAATATATTGGTGACCTTACATAACTTTACACCGGAACTGAATATATTGGTGAACATTACATAAATTACACCGGAACTGAAAATATTGGTGACCTTACATAACATTACACCGGAACTGAATATATTGGGGACCTTACAATAACGTGACACCGGAGGACTGATGATATCTATGTATGTATGTGTGTATGTATGTATGTTCACAGTATAGTGTAGGAAACCCAATTGTCTCTCAAGGGACAGCAAAATAAAATATGTCAGGCTCGAAACAAAACAATCAATCAGTAGTGCACATTTTCAGGCAGTCG